GGTGCGACCAACACTTGGGGGGGTTTGGACAGAGGCGATAATGGTGCTTCTACCTGTGTCGCTTTCAGATCCTACTCAGCCGTGAGTGCAGTCACTACCTTCCCCTGCTGTTTGTCAAATTCTGGCTGTGATCTCATGAAGGCTCGGGACTCGTGGGCTGTGTCCCCAGACCTTCACCTATCGACTGTCAATCCTCTGTACCCCATACCACGACCGTCGGTTCATCTCCTCCCCCTGTGCCCCGGTGTTCTCCTGCTATATCAAAACATCGGCCGCTGTCGCTCGAGTGAGAAGTTGAATGGACACTTCCCCCTGAGTGTGGATCTAACCGTGTTCCAGAACCTTCCCCAGGGCCACTGTCGTAGAAAATATCTGTTCATTGTTTGATGCTATTGTTTGATTCCTTTAATTGCTGACTCCCTTGTATTGTTTGAGTCTATCAGTTGTTGACTCCCATTAATTGTTTGATTCCATTAAGTGTTTGATTCTATTAATTGCTGACTCCCATAAATTGTTTGCTTCCCTTTAATTGTTTGCTTCCCTTTGATTGTTTGCTTCCCTTTGATTGTTTGCTTCCCTTTGATTGTTTGCTTCCTTTAAATGTTTGCTTCCCTTAATTGTTTAACTCCATTAACTGTTTACTACATTAATTCTTTAACTCCCGTAATTGTTATTTGATATTTGTTGACTGGTGTCAGAGTTTTGTTATATTATTTATAGTAAAGAGATGTCAATCTCAAACGGTTGTTTGTTATTCCTCAGAAAACCATGGTCCTTGACTTTCCTTTTCTAAAGATCCTGATTAGTCTGGTCAGGGATTTCTATCCCTAAGTCCCAGGCCTTTACACAAATGGTTCTGTTACACCTCTCGGCTACCTCCAACCGAGACCTCGCGGTTTAAAACCTAGGTGTACCTAACCTTGTTACAAAACGGTGTGCTTTAGCTAAACTTTTTCGCTGTGCATATGCTTTTGCAATTCCTTCCGAAAAGTCTTCTTAGAAACTATTGTGTACCTGGAAGAAATCTTCCTGTAACAAATTATCAAAACAATCAACGAACTGATAAATATGATGGTACGTATAATAAAACCAGGTAGGATTATACTGGAAGATAAATATAAAGGAAGAGAATCCTGTAAGTCAGGAAACTGTATCATTAAAATAGGATAGGAGGTTAAGCTTATCAGAAACACTATGAAGATTACTGAAACTTATATTTAAGGGAAATGGTATGCGAACCAGCTCAGAAGTAATATTTGTGACAAATGCAAGCTGATGGCGAGTAGGCAAGGTTGTGATTGCATTACTGCTAATTTCACAATAGTCTGGTGCTACATGATAACCTTCTACCACTAAATGTTTGCCTACATCCTGACATATAAGTATCACACTGGTTTGATTTGGGAAAAAGAAATATTGCACATTATTGACATGTGCGTGAAACACTAACCTATGTGGTATTGGAGTATATACACATTGTTGTAGAGCTGTAGAGGCATTAGTTTGTAACAGAGCTAATTCACATGTAGCCTCAGCAGCCCGAGTGAATGCGAAAGCATACGCCGGACAAACATGCAAATGTAAATATGTTGACTTACAATGATTTAGGACTTCATGCTTAGCCATAGCAACTAATGAAAAATCCTCTGATACTACTATTAGTTCAGTTTGTTCAGAATTAATAGTCCTTCATTCGCTTTTAGTGGAAATGGTTCCAAATGCCATGCATCAAAATTTTTATTTTATTTTAGTGGAATGTGTATTAGTATTTCCCTGTGTGTTTATGTTGCTTCTAATAAGGGGTAATAATATTCCACTTCATGCTCCTGAAAGATAGGAGTTAGACGATATTTAGTTTCAGATATATGCAACGCGGCAATTACTTGACCAACCGGCAACAACTGTGCGTCAACACGGCCTAACCCTGCATTTACAAGATCAGCAATGAGCCTATTATTGGTTTCTATGAAAGATTGTACAGAGGCCTCATCAGCATGCATGTATTCAGTGAAGCAGAGTAGCCATTCCAGTGTAGATTCTGACCGTATGAATCCCTGGACAACTTGTGTTAGTTGATTAGTTTCTTCAACAATAGCATTCATATGAGAGGTCAGAGTTTGTACTGCCTTGTAGGACTGTGCAATGGCCCTATTTTGTTTCTTAACCGCTTCTGAAACTGCACTCATTTTATTCCCTAGTTTAGCCACATCTTCGGCGGTTGCCATACCAAACAAGGTGTTACTTATTAACCCTACAAAATTAAACAGCCCACGTTATGACGCCGCTGAGAATGTACATTTTTCCCGATGTCTTCAGGAGATATAGGGAGCTTTCCCTCGAAGTGCCTTACTCGCTTGAGTAGACTATTCATATGGTCGTGTTGAAAAGAGATGGTCTGACGGATTGTTGTAGAGACTGCAGATTGTTGTTCGAGATCTTGCAAAGTTTGCATTGCTGTGGGGTAGCCTATATGTTGGGATGTAGATTGGATTTGTTTCCGATTTGAGTGGAATATGTTGATTTGTCAACTTTGTTTCACCTCGGGGTTCTCCAGGCAATGCTATGATTTCCTTGAACTCGGCTAGTAATTCTAAAAGATCACTTTTGCCTCGAGGATGATCGACTACTTTCACGTGTGGTGCTATCAACGCTACATTATTCACAATATGTGATTTTTCGTTCAATTTACCCTGTGTTACACTACCTATTGGTAATTCTAATGGCTCTTCGACAACCACTTTGTCATAAACAAGGAATTACCTAAACAACATCCCTTTCTTAAGGTTATGGGTCCCCCAGTTCTACTGAGAACGAGGACATCTGTGAGACTACCTAATCTAACAGTGCTTAAGGTAGACTCAAGTGACAAACCTTTCACTCGTGAATTTTCACTGAGACACACAACATCTGCTCCTTCACTCACATTTGGCAAACGTACTGTGACTCAAGTTAGTTCCTGGCTATGTAACGGTTGTACACCAGTTAACACAGCAGGAGTTAGAGTCCAGTTCTGGCCGCTTTCATCAGAAATGTCCTTTAAACTACTAGTTGAAGTTTCAGAGAGTGATCTCCATAATTAATTCCTGCTGTGCCAAAGACTCCCCCGCGCCTGTCGAGGCAGTTATTACACGAGCACCTGACGTAAACAATGGATGTGAAGTTTGCATTGCGTGATATTTTTTACAATTATGCGCTATTGTTTGATCCCGTGACTGAACGTTAATGTTGTTCTGCCTTAGAGTGGTCAGATGTAGAAATCCGCCAGAAACGATTTACTGGATATAGAAAAACGGATTGGTAGTGCTATTACCCCCGCTATGTCTAATTGGATTCCTGACACACCGGCCAGGGGAATGTCTTTAGGTCTTATTGGCCACTTATTTGGAGGATATCGCCGCTGGAGTTCACTGAACGACTTTAATGAGATAACATTGGCACAGGCCCCCGTATCTATATCTAGGGAATATTGATTGTTACCTATCCTCGCTGGTACAGTCAACACTTCCACTTTGTTTAACTTGGCGATTAATGAGCCGGTGATGGAAGCTTTGTTTTCTTGAACCGTTGATGCTATCCTAGATCGTGTTGCTGGACGCGCTCCTCTTCCCCCGAAGGCTGTGTACTTGTCTGCCGTCGATTTTCAATTTCTTGCCTCATTCTCTGTATATTTCTACAATCTTGTGTGTTGTGGTATGGAGACTAATGTACTATACACCTTTTATTCGGAGTGCCTTTAGTGTTTGGAGACATTTTATTTCCTGTGTAATGTTCCTTTGGAGTTTTTGGTTTAGCAGGACTATCTGAAATTTTAAAGTCCTGCGAGGATCCTTTTCTTCGATCTTGCCTCTGGCTGGCTGGGTAGTTATCTGCTTGTCTTGCAAACCAGCATTTTTCTGTTGCATGTCCCTTACGTTTGCAAACTTTGCAAAAAGGTATCCTCTTTGGTTTGGTTTCCGTGACAGACTGTAGTTGTTCCTTGAAGGTGGTGACTGGTGCCACTGACATAGCCCTGGGAATATTTTCCTTAGGTTTCGCAATTTCTTCTACGTATTCTACTAAACTCTTTCTTTGGGACTTTTGTGCGTAAAGGTTCATTTGATGACAAGATAAACTGAAGAAATTCAATAATCCTGTAGAAATTTACTTTTGACAAGTTGTCATTTTTATCGAACCAATCTGAGGAATCCATGTAAGATTTGAGGTCTATCTTAGTGAGTCACACACAAATCTGGGCGTCCTGTGCTTCATGTGCGAGCAGAGTGTCACCTGTCCTCTCTGCCATCTTAAAAATCCAAGTAAGTGGACCTTCTTTGGAGCCTGACCCAAAAAAGGAAATGAATTGTTTCCTAAACGTTTGATAATCATCTGTTTCTTCGTCAATGGCTCAAGCATAGATACCTTTAGCTGCCCGACTACCGGTTTTGATGAGGCTTCGGACGTATGAAAATTTATCCATGTCATTAGTGACATAGTTATTTCTCATTACATCTTCGCATTTATGCAAAAATGCTAAACTAGTATAATCAGGATCCTCGGCGATGGCATCCGTACCAGAGATGTCTGCGTCCATGAGAGAGCCTCTTCTGGGACGTTTATGTCGACCCTCCCATGATGGCAAAAGCTTGCCGGCTGAAGGGACCTTAGTGGGACGATCGGGAAGTCAAGAGCACTTATGGGCACGTCTGTCCCCTTATGTGGTCATGCCACGACTTTGAGACGCAAGGAGGAGCGGGCGAGGTATTTGCTTGACCTGTGGCTCAACCTCTGATGAAATTACAGACCTCTGCATGTATGACATGAACAACTACTGAGTCATGGTTGAATAACTTAGTGAATAATTGGGTATTATACATTTAAGTATTATACATTTGGGTGAATATTTATATCATACAAATGGTGCTGTTACATACACACACACACACACACACAAACTCACTATCGCTCCATCTTTGAACCCATATAATGACTCCTAAAGCTTAATCAACTTTGTTCCTGGCCAGGTAAGAGTGAGGTGATGGCTCAGGTAGCGTCCGTGCAGGCGATGATCGTGCCCATGTTCATAGTGAGCACCACCATCACCTTACAACTGAGCACCCTCCTCTTCCCTTCATCCGCCGCCGTCTATGTTGGTCTCATCTGTCTCATCATCAACCGACCGTCTTGTCAAGCTGTCGCAATTCCTTTCGTCAGAGCCAGGTACTCTGTGTGTGTGTGTGTGTGTGTGTGTGTGTGTGTGTGTGTGTGTACACAGGGTGGTGTAACACATCTAATGTGCAACATTATGTTGATGTTAAGGTGCAAGCACTGCTTGCTTCCTCTTGCTTTCAGTAATCATTTCTGGCTAATCCTAGTGGTGAACATGGAAGCAGACTTACGTTAGTCTTCCCCTGCCAGTACACAGCCTCTTCACCATCAAGACTCCTGCTGTGCCACTTCGTGGCAACACACAGTAACTGGGTGCCTTATGGCCCCAGGCTAGACCAGCAGGGAATCTCGGAGCAGCAGTGGGCCCCAGAGGTAGGGCACATAGGCCCAGAGGTATGGCGCATAGGCCCACCGGCATGTGTACACACCTTACCTACCACTGCCCCACTACCTTACAAATTAATCTTGATAAGTATAAGGCTACAGAAGTAAACCCCAAACGAAAAATCTGCAGTGGAGCCCCGCATTAGGAAGGCATACTTACAAAGCTCCAGGAAAACCCCAATGGCGGAATAGGTGGAAGAGGTGACCAACATGGAAACCCAACGACTATACCGGCAGGTGAAGACAAACTGGGCTATCAGCAGTCCATTGCAACTCTACCTCCCCAATTGTTGCAGCTTCCTGCACCGCTGGATCAGGAAAGGGGAGAACCAAGATGTGTGGTTGTAGCCTGCGCTCCTGCCTTACCACATAAATCAACCTTATGCACAGCCATCATCCAACTCATCCTACCTTCCATCATCATCGGAACCCCTAAACCTCCAAAAGTCCTATGGCAACTGACGAATAGTGACGGAGACAGGCAGAGATGGCTGCCGGGAGTCTCTAGTCACAACTCTGCACATGAGCAGCACAGATAAGATGGTCGTTTATGCACTGGGATCTAGGCAACAGTACAATCTGGTCCTGTCTGTTCGACTGAGCAGCCCTTTCGAGGAGCCACTCTGCTCACCCCACATGGGGAAAGGGCTAGAAAATATGCCCTAAACATAGCCTGCCAGAAAAAAAAACTGACTAGGCAACCGCACCCACTAAGATCATCCTAATACAATTTCTCGTTTTGGTAATTAGTGGCTCTAGGGTATGAAATTCATTTAAAAATTTTTCTTAAAGACAAAGAAATATTAATTCAGGGTTTATTTACAAGTTTTTCCTATTGTTGTATATACACACTCGTGCATAGGCCTATGAAATGAAGAATTGTAGCCAGGAACATACATTATCAGTTATTTTACTCTAATCTTACGATATATATTTTTTTTTAGGGGGGGGGGGTGTAGCCCACCCGGGTACAGGTCATCGACCCATAACGGGGCCCGAGAGGCGAAAAAATAAGATTAAAAAGAAAAAAAATAGAAGAGAAAAAGAGTACACTATGTTAATCTATACCATGAAGATGCCGGAAAACCAGCTTTTTGAAGTGAGACAGAGTGTAAGAGGATGAAAACAGAGAAGAATGCAGAACATTCCACAGTTTGGCTGTGTGAGGAAAGAAGGATGTACTATAACGGGTTATTCTGTGTGACCGATATCCACATACATCCACACAGAAACGGTGGGCACCGCAGGCAAGACGAGTGTTACGAGCCCAGTGCCTTGCCGGCTGTACACAAGATTCCAAATCCACCGAACATTACTCGTTAAAGTACCTGTAAAGAGAGAGTGAAGCAACATTGTGGTGAAGAACAAGAGAAGAGAGATTATCAACTAAAGGAGGAGAGTTAATAAGACGAAATGCCTTTGATTCCACACTATCTAACAGTTGGACAGAAGAAGAGCCACCCCAGATATTGATAGCAGTACTCCAAGTTAGGATGAATGAATCTCTTATAAACCTGAAGCAACTGCTCAGGAGTGAAGTAGCTACAGCATCTGTACAGTACATCATTCCCAGCTTTCGGATGGCGGTTTTAGCCATGTAGATGTGTGGCTTCCATGAGTTTAATTAAATTTAATTTGATCATCTATTTTTAACCTGATTTATAGAATAATTTCATCTAAAAAATCAATGGTCAACAATTTGTGCTGAAAGACGATTTTAGAAGAAAAAAATATTGTTGTATAGGCCTACCTAGACCGCATACTGTACTGTACCCCTGTGTGTGTGGTCAGCTGGACGGCTCGGGTTTCACTGTCATAATGGGTTGCTGTGACATACCAATTTCTCAAGCCTCAAGATAATGCTGGGACACATTAATGCTCTAATATTTTCGTGAATAACTCACTAGCTAATTCGCTGTTTAATATTATGTGAATAGGTTTTCAACACAATTTTTCAGAAAAGCTCTAATAATTTTTCTCATTCTAACGAACCCATTTTAACAGCACAAAATATATACAGTATATATATAATCGCTCATGAGAGCAATTTTGGTTTGTGCAGGACAATAAGACCCTTGTCGTTGACGCGATGGGGATGAGTATAATTCGGTCAAAACCTGTTGAGTACAATTCACATATAACAACTGCTGGTATATCAGGACACACAGTTTGAATAATACAATCACGTATTAAAGTTATTTAGAGTTCGCAGAGGATTCAACAGTTCACAATCACACACACGTTTTGGGGTCTAGGGTTAGACCAACGAGAACAAATATAATGTCCTGCAGGGTGATGTTGGCTGACGAGAATCAAGATGTTGCCTCTACAGTAGTAGGCGATAGTCTGCCCCTCAGGCAGTCACACAGCTGCTACCAGCTCTATCTCGCTTAGTAAGCTATTCTGAGTTGTAAACAGTTTCTTCACTTGACATGTGGCCGGCGCTCACAATTGTGCATGGCGTTAACTATATATATATATATATATATATATATATATATATATATATATATATATATATATATATATATATATATATATATATATATATATATATATATATATATATATATATATATATACGCACACTAAAACACCCTAGAACTAAATCGGGATAAGACTCGTGCTATGGCGCTAATATTAGAGCTGTTAAAACAATGCAGCTATACAGTAGTCCATATAAGATCTTTTGGTAGATTACCGCCACACTGCCTTCGATCCTTCATGATGCAAATGAAGATTCTTTTTTTTAGAATACTAACATCTCCATCTTACTAAATTCTACCCTTTCCAAGACATCTTTGTTTAATATTTTACTTTATCATTTATTTTTAAAAATCCACAAAAACATACACAACATTCTCTGAACCTCTAAAGCTCTTATATTTAAAGTTCTCAAACCAACATAACCTTCTTTTGTTCTTCTGCCCTCACTAAAGTTAAAGCAATTAATATTTCTTAATTTATATTGTGTTATATCATATTCATTAAAAATTTACACCAGATATATTAAACACATTCCCCTTACGTTGGCTCAGATGTTTTTCGGCAGTACTATAAATAATGATTTCTTTTAATCACTGATATCATTTAGTTCAGTGAGATTTTACCAACCATAGATACCAGCACCGCGACCTGTATGGACGACTGTAGAATGCCAAAGCAAATAATCTACGGTCACCTAAAGAATGGTAGACGTAACGTCTCACCTTGGAGACGATTACTCAACACCATAATATTTGGAGGAGCACTACACGAGAATGATCAATTCTTTCTAGTAAGCTCGACTGAGTACAGAGGCGGACAAGTGCCAGCGCTGGAAAGACGCTGCCGCCGCCGCTCCCGCACTAGATGTAGCCTGCCACACATACAACACCCGCGAACGACCATATTGGCATCTCAAGCCACCTCAGAGCTCGCCACCGAAGGTGACATCAATAATGACTCGTATCATTGTGTCATCGCTGGATGATCGTCATATTCAGTTCCGAGTGACAGCAAAGTAGCAGAAGCAGTCGTAGCTGTATGGGTCAAAAGTGGGAACACTTTCAGCAGACTCCAGAAGAAGATTGGAGGTATTCAATATGTGGTAATAAAGGAGAATGCTAAAAGTCAGTTATGCCAGAAAGAAAGGCAGTGAAGGTGTACTAAGACTAGTGAGAGCAATGAGGGAAGTATTAGGGTGATGGTAGAGATATTAATGGCCAAAGTTGAGGGTAGGAAGGAAAGGGAAAGGCAGAGACTAAGATGTATAAAACTTGACCCTCCAAAGATATGCAACCTCCGGAAGGATTGGTAAAAACAGTATGAAAACTTCAGCTATGGTCGCCAATCCTCACATAATAGGACACTACACGAAAAAAATATTTTTGTTGTTAATATTACCATACAAGGAAGATTTTCATCTTTGTACTCGGCCAAATTTATCATCAACAGAAGCAGAATTAATACAAAGGTTGACTTTCCTCATTCAGGTTTCCAGCGGAGCACTTCAACCGCATCATCGGGATACAGGGGACGGTGATAGCAGTGTTGACGATGTTACAGTACCCACACTTCACCTTTGCCCAGTCACATTACAACCTGGTGAGTCCCTCTCTACCCAGGTGAGTCCCTCTCTACCCTGGTGAGTCCCTCTCTACCTAGGTGAGTCCCCCTCTACCCTGGTGAGTCCCTCTCTACCCTGGTGAGTCATTCTCTACCCTGATGAGTCATTCTCTACCCTGGTGAGTCCCTCTCTACCCTGATGAGTCATTCTCTACCCTAATGAGTCTTTCTCTACTTTGGTGAGTCCCTCTCTACCCTGATGAGTCAATCTCTACCCTGATGAGTCATTCTCTACCCTGATGAGTCATTTTCTACCATGATGAGTCATTCTCTACCCAGGTGAGTACCTCTCTACCCAGGTGAGTCCTCTCTACCCTGGTGAGTCCTCTCTACCCAGGTGGTCCTCTCTACACTGGTGAGTCCCCTACCCAGGTGAGTCTCTCTACCCAGGTGAGTCCCTCTCTACCCTGGTGAGTCCCTCTCTCCCTGGTGAGTCCTCTCTACCCTGGTGGGTCCCTCTCTACCTAGGTGAGTCCCCTCTCCTGGTGGGTCCCTCTCTGCCTGGTGAGTCATTCTCTCCCTGATGAGTCCCTCTCTACCTGGTGAGTTCCTCTCTACCCCTGTACCTGGTGGTCTTCTCTACCCTGGTGGTCCTCTCTACCTGGTGAGTCATTCTCTACCCTGATGGTCCCTCTGTACCCTGGTGAGTCCCTCTCTACCCTGGTGAGTCCCTCTCACCCTGGTGAGTCCCTCTCTACCCTGGTGAGTCATTCTCTACCTTGGTGAGTCCTTCTCTACCCTGGTGAGTCCCTCTACCCTAGTGAGTCACTCTCTTCCCTGGTGAGTCATTCTCTCACCCTGGTGAGTCCCTCTCTACCCTGGTGAGTCCTTCTCTACCCTGGTGAGTCCTCTCTACCCTGGTGAGTCCTTCTCTACCCTGGTGAGTCCCTCTCTACCCTAGTGAGTCACTCTCTTCCCTGGTGAGTCATTCTCTACCTTGGTGAGTCCCTCTCTACCCTGGTGAGTCCCTCTCTACGCTAGTGAGTCACTCTCTTCCCTGGTGAGTCATTCTCTACCTTGGTGAGTCCTTCTCTACCCTGGTGAGTCCCTCTCTACCCTAGTGAGTCACTCTCTTCCCTGGTGAGTCATTCTCTACCCTGGTGAGTCCCTCTCTACCCTGGTGAGTCCTTCTCTACCCTGGTGAGTCCCTCTCTACCCTGGTGAGTCCTTCTCTACCCTGGTGAGTCCTTCTCTACCCTGGTGAGGTGAGTCCTCTCTCCCCTGACCCTCTCTACCCTGGTGAGTCCTTCTCTACCTTGGTGAGTCATTCTCTACCCTGAGTGAGTCCTTCTCTACCCTGGTGAGTCACTCTCTCTTCCTGGTGAGTCCTACCCTGGTGAGTCCTTCTCTTGGTGAGTCCTCTCACCCTGGTGGTCCCTCTACCCAGGTGAGTCCTTCTCTACCTTGGTGAGTCATTCTCTACCCTGGTGAGTCCTTCTCTACCCTGGTGAGTCACTCTCTTCCCTGGTGAGTCATTCTCTACCCTGGTGAGTCCTTCTCTACCCTGGTGAGTCCTCTCTTCCTGGTGAGTCCCTCTCTGCCCTGGTGGTCCTTCTACCCTGGTGAGTCCTCTCTTCCCTGGTGAGTCATTCTCTACCCTGGTGAGTCCTTCTCTACCCTGGTGAGTCATTCTCTACCCTGATGAGTCCCTCTCTACCCTGGTGAGTCCTCTCTACCTGGTGAGTCCCTCTCTACCCCTGGTGAGTCTCTACCCTAGTGAGTCACTCTCTTCCTGGTGAGTCATTCTCCCTTGATGAGTCCCTCCCTACCCCTGGTGAGTCCTTCTCTACCCAGGTGAGTCATTCTCTACCTTGGTGAGTCCCTCTCACCCTGGTGAGTCCTTCTCTCACCTGGTGAGTCCTCTCTACCCTGGTGAGTCCCTCTCTTCCCTGGTGAGTCTCTCTCTACCCTAGTGAGTCACTCTCTTCCCTGGTGAGTCCTTCTCTACCCAGGTGAGTCCCTCTCTACCCTGGTGAGTCACTCACTACCCTAGTGAGTCTCTCTCTTCCCTGGTGAGTCATTCTCTTCCTTGGTGAGTCCATCTCTACCCTGGTGAGTCCCTCTCTGCCCAGGTGAGTCATTCTCTACCCTGATGAGTCATTCTCTACCCTGGTGAGTCCCTCTCTACCCTGGTGAGTCCCTCTCTACCCTGGTGAGTCCCTCTTTACCCAGGTGAGTCATTCTCTACCCTGATGAGTCATTCTCTACCGTGGTGAGTCACTCTCTATCCTGGTGAGTCCCTCTCTGCCCTGGTGAGTCATTCTCTACTCTGGTTAGTCCCTCTGTATCCTGGTGAATCACTCTCTATCCTGGTGAGTCCCTCTCTACCCTTGTGAGTCATTCTCTACTCTGGTGAGTCCCTCTGTACCCTGGTGAGTCACTCTTTATCCTGGTGAGTCATTCTCTACCCTGATGAGTCATTCTCTACCGTGGTGAGTCACTCTCTATCCTGGTGAGTCCCTCTGCACCCTGATGAGTCACTCTATCCTGGTGAGTCACTCTCTACCCTGGTGAGTCATTCTCTACTCTGGTGAGTCCCTCTCTATACTTAGCCAGTCAGGCGGAAACGATGCTTTTCGTCTGAACGAGACGGGCTAGTAAAATTTCTTTGGATCTGAAGCCCTATACCTCAAATTTATCAAACTTAATAAAGCTTTTCTAGTCCTTTATTCCTTTCTAAACCCATTTCTATTTTCATATAGCGCACTGTCTATCCTAATATTATTATACTTTGCAGGTAGGACTTATTGAACTAATTGTTCTAAACTGGGTGCACTCTAAGACTTCTGGCTTTCTCGGCAATAATACAAATAACGATTTTGTTTTCAATTCACTGGGAAGGTCGCCTTTGAAGTACATTGAATTATATATCTTAGTCAAACATTTGATCTCATTCGTGCCTATTTGTTTTGTAAATTCTGCTGATAGCTAATCAACCCTACAAGCTTTATTTTTATTTTTATTTATTATTGTTTTTGTTGTTTGTTTGTTTTTTTGCTCACGGCTGCCTTAACTTCTATTTCCAAAATTGGTAGTTTGATCTTAATTTTCTTCGTTTCTTACCGCTACTCTATCCTTTAGCATTGTTAAGTTCTTCTACATACTCTGCCCATCTTTCTTTTAGTTTTTGTCTCAAATAGGATCTTATTGTCTTTTCTTTCAATAGTTCCACCCCATTTACTTAATTTTTTTTCTGATTTACTACTTAATAATTCTGTAGATTTCCCCACAGCTATATCTTTTTCCATCATCTATCTCCTTCCATTTCCCATTTAGTAAATCTCCATTGGCCAGTCAACATTCCTTTTTAATTTATTTGTTAAGTTCTTTATGAGTCTCATTTCCTCTTATCATCTTTCTTCGTCTAACAATTTGGCTGTAAATTTTCTTTGTGATCCACTCACCTTTAGCCTCGTTCCTCCTATGTCCTATAAGATCTTTCCCCACCCTTAACATTATTTCTTTGTAATTATTCCATTGTTGTCCTGGTTCTTGTTCACCAAAGTCACCCTCAAGCACTAATGAAAATTTGGTTTCGATTTCAATTTCACATTCTATCTCTGCCCCTTTTTTAAGCTTTCCTAAATCCCATTTAATTTTTCCACTGTTTTTCTTTTTATTTTCTGAATTTTACCCTCTCTAAACTCATTACTGGGACGTGACCTGACCCACAATCTGTCCCTAAATAAGTCTTGGTTCTGATTACTGAATTGCTGAATATTTTTTTAATTTAAATGTAAACTATTTGCATTGTCCTGGGGTGTGATCCGTGTAGAGACATGCCTAGGGTGTTGTTCAAACCATGCATTTGCAATTATCATATTGTCTTCCTTACAAGAGTCAATTAATATTTCTCTTCTCTCATTCCTATTACCCAACCCATTCCTATTACCCAACGTGAGTTACCAGTCGAATACCAAATTGCGGGTTACAAACTGTTCCATACCGATAGGCAGACCAGGAAAGGAGGCGGAGTAGCAATCTATGTTAGGGATAATCTGAAGTGTGAAATAAATAAGGAAATAAAAACTGAGAGGAATACAGAAACAATTTGGATAGAATTAAGCGAAGGTCGGGAAAAATTAATCACAGGAGTAATATATAGACCCCCCAATCTTGATAGCGTCCAGCCAGGCGACTTATCTGGGATGAAATGCGCAGGGGCTTCCATACCTGTAAAGTCTGTATAGTAGGCGGCTTTAACCTTAGCCAAATAGATTGGACTGACCTTCACGGGCCAACTCAGAATCAGAGGATTTTCTCGAGACGATCCAGGACTGTTTCCTAAGTCAATATAGCCGAGCCACACGGGGTAATAATATACTGGACTTAGTTCTGTCAGACAGAAAACCCTAATTAGCAATATCGAGGTGAGGGAACGAACTTGCAAACAGCGATCACAAAGAAATTTGATTCCAGTTAGATTTTTCAGGGCAGACGTAAGGAAGAAATTCCACTAAAGAGTACCAGATTTCAGAAGAACCAAGCTTTGACAGTTTAAAGAGGCAGCTGAGAGGAAGTGTCGCGCTTGGCTGTGAACCTGACAGATGACACCGACCTGATAGCAGATCTGAGATTGCCGGTTCCGCGACAATTTAAATGATGGGTTAGCAATGCACAAAGGCAGAACATACCATACCAAAAAACTCAGATCAGACAACAATGACCTAAATGGATAAATAATTATTTAAAGAACATCATTGGCCAAAGGAAGGCTATATAGGTAGAAGGATAAATCGTGGCCGAAATTCACCTCCGGGACTATTATAGGGTATTGGCGAGTAGGGTTAAACCGAGAATAAGGAAAGCAAGAGGAATAATGAGGTAAGGATAGCAAGGGAGGCGAAGACAAACCCCAAAGGATTCTACCAAATGTATCAAACTAAAACACGAGAAAAGATTAGACCAATACGGTCAGACTTCGGCGAGCTCACTGATAACGACGGAGAAATGAGCAATAATTTGAATAAATATTTTTCAACAGTTTTCACCACCGAAAATTTTAACATGATACCCGAGGCACCAACTCTATTCAGAGATAGTGAAGAAAACAAATTAAGTGAGATAGTAGTAGTGACTAGTAACAATGTTAGTAAGCAAATAGACAAACTAAAGCCTAATAAGTCACCTGGTCCCGATGAGATATTTGCCAGAGTATTAAA